CAAAGTAAGAACCAATCCATCTTTTATTTCAAGTATTTGAGTTGTTACCCCTTGAAATCTGTAAAGCAAAGACCCTTTGAAGTGTGATGACTTTGCACGTGCTGCGGACCTATAGACATCGCGGGTGAGGAAAGCTGAGCCCTAATCCCCATATTCCCGCGAATATTTAAGACGAGAACAAAGATGGCGGCGGCCTTGAGGTGGGATGGACGAATGGGTTTGTGATTGCCGCGAGCACTCTTTTCTCTGTAGGTTGATATCACCATGAGTGAAAAAAATGTGGTACGTAAGTAGATTTTTGGAAACTGCTTCTTCAGTAACTGGTTGTAGCTGTTTCAATTTGCCATGTTTTGGACCTTCATTGAAATTCGTATTTGCAGCTCAGCTGTATTTACGGACACCCGCCTAGTACGGACACCTCATTATTACGGACAATTTGTTTGGTCCCTGGGGAAAGAAAGCCCTTATGTCTAAATTCAACAGGCTTAACTCGAACACCCCGTCAATACGGTTACTTTCTACGGCCCTCTTGGTGTCCGAATGAACGGAATTGACTGTACAATGCCTACAATGTCTGTTACATGAATGTCTCGGGCGATATACATATACTAGTGATTTAAGCTCTGACCTATTTCAGGCTAAAAAGACTATTTGAAATAATTAAGCAAATGTTTTTATATGATGTTTACGTAAGTTAAAAATAAATTACAAAGATTCACCATTGCCAGCTATTGTTGCTTAAAAAGGAGTCATTTTGGTATCCTTAATAAGAGAGGTTTGATGGTTGTAAAAGGGTTTATTGGTTTATCGCACCTGCCCTCCCCAACCCTTTAAGAATTTCAGTTTAGGTTTACAGCTATTTCGAGAAACGTTATTGGAAATAATGTGTACACGACAATCCTGAAAGGTAACGTGGGATATGATCAATACACTGTTCCGGACACTGTAGCTGTCGAACCTACTTTTGTTGCTTTCCTTAAGCAATCGCAAACATATGTCCATGGCCTCTCGTGCCATTCTTTCAAATTTCTTTGAACAACAGTGAACTCCAATCCCCCCACAATACCTTTCGGGATTGTCACGTGCACTTTTTCTGACAACCTTTCTCGAAAAAGCTGCATACTTTCATTTCAAAATAAATGTTTTCTGAAAACACACCCTTTGCTCTAGCCCAACGCCAACCCTGTACTTGCCCTTCATCTCAACTTATCCAATGGCCAATTAGAAGACTTTAAAGCCAAGATTAAAAAACTCATCAACAATTCATCAAGATGCTTAGTCCTAGGTTCAGTTTCCAGCCAGTTTATATATCACATTCAACTGGTCAAGACTAGACTCACTGAAACGGCTGGAAATTATGCCTAGATACTGCAGTTAGTTTGCACACCCGGCTTAACAATTTATCACTATTACTTTCATCTTTAGCTCATCAGACAGCGGCTAATTGAACTAGAGAAGAAACATGCAAAAGCTTTGAAAAAACTTCAGGTGAGAATTATCCCTTATGTATACTATGTGAGTGGTTTGGTACAAAATTAAGTGCAGTACTATCATTATTATCACCAGTTTAGCTTTAATGTTTTCAAATTAACAGCGCGGTCCATGTAAAATCAAGCTATTCTTGCTTACAATTTCAGAGAGCTGAAAAGTACAAGCAGAGGCGACAAACTTTTCATGGATTTATAGTTAGAGATGCAAACACTAGTAATTCAATCACTTTGGACAACTCTAACCTTCTTTTATCTAAGGACACAATCTCTACAGATGTTAGAAACTCACGGTGCTCATCAGCTCAAAAAAAGGGAGTTACTAAAACTGTGACATTCAAGGAAGCTCTTGACAGTGATAGTAAAGGTCAGCCTCGATCAGAGAATGAATGCAAAATTGTAGAGCAAAGTGGCAGGAACAAAACATTTAACAGGAAATCTGAATTATTAGCTTCAAGTATTCCACAGCAAATATCTGAAGACAATGAAAAGGTGTTGCAGTGTTCGGTCAGCAGTGACAACAGCTTTGTTGCAGTAGATAGTAGTATGGTTACACCAACAGGCTCTCTTATTTCATCTGATAATGAAACAATTCTTGATAGTGATGTGGCTTCTACGGATGGGAAAGATTGTTTCCAGAGTCAACAAGGTGTAGACCTTAAGGCTATAGACAGTCGTCTCTGTGGCTCAGGACAGGGTGTTGTACAAGTACCTTCAACAGGCAATGAAAGTTGTAACCATGAATTGTCGCAAAAGCAATGTCATTCTAATGGTCTGCTAGGGCAACATAATGCAAAAAATGTGTTAGCTCAAAGCAAAGAAAATGTCAAGATGAGGAATTCATCAGATCATCATAATGCACAAGATGATAGCACACGACATACATGTAGCTTGGAAAAAGCAAATGACAGAGTGACTTTAATTGAAAATGGTGGAAAACATCAACACAAATCAACCACCAACTCATTCACCCTGGATGAAAGTAATGATTTTCCTTCAGGAAATCAGCCCTGGTTATGGCTCTTTGAAGAACAGTTTCCAAGAAGGTCTCCACGGATACAATCAATGCCAAACTTCAGAGATCGAGCTCATTTTTCTCAGGATAACAAAGTTACACATCCAAAGAAAACAAAACGCATAAGAAAAAAGAAGTCAAGGACAGAGAATGATACTCCAATCAGTAGAAACAATAACTTAAAATCTACCACGGTACATGAAAATAACGGCAATTCGCCACATAGCAGTTTTCCTGAAGAGAGTTCATGTATCAGCAATTTTGTTTTTCCAAGGCCTACTCAAGAACAAACAAAAAATGGTGGGTCTCTGGCTGTTGTAGTTGACTTTTCTCTACCTGATAGAGAGTTTGCAAAGCTGAAGCTTGCAAAAATCAAGGGAACTTTGTCAGCAGAAAGGTCAAGTAAAGACCTAAATACTGTAGTGGAAAAGATTACGGAAGAGCATGGTACTGAAGTGAAGAGAGATACAAAACTGTTTGATAAAAAGTGTGAAAATAAAAGAGTTGTTGAAGAGAAAACAGCTGCAGAAAATATTGGTGAGTTGGAAGATCATGCAGCATCAGGACTTGAGGAAATGAAAGGTCAAACAAAAAGGACGGAAAAACACAATTTCAGGTTAGAAGGAGGTGTAATTTCCTCAGCCACTGGTTCAAAATGTCTAAGCCAGCAAGAGAAAAAGAAAAACTCCACACAATTTGTTTATAATGAGCAACAATGTAAAGAGTCCAGAATTGTATCTTCTGGAGATGCTTGGTGGAGCAATTCCTTTGAATCAGATCATGAACAAGTGGTTTCTCACATGTATAGTGTGACAGCAAAACAAAGTCAGGTTTCATCGGAGAAAGAATCACCAAAATATGAGGGTGTTGGAACTTGTGCAAATCACTGCAATTCCTTTCATATCAATGGTTCATGCACATCTTTTACTGAAGTTGTTCAGCAAACTGATGACCATGAAAAGTTAAATGAATCCTACAACAATTTCTGTGATGGAAGTTCCTCTTGGGTTAAATCTAACACTTTAGACAATCTAGGTCATGGATTGTCACAGAGGAAGACTCCACTGGCAAAATCCACTGTAGAAATTAATGAGGAAGACAATTTTTCAAGTCAGAAACACTCTAATGAATTAAATTTGAAAGAAAATGTTGTACTCAGTGACTGTGGTAATGCAGTTTCCGGCAAAGTAACTGTTAAAGAAATGACAACAATCTCCATCAAACAGCAACGTGTTCAAGAGGAGGTCAGTTTAACTGAAGTGAAGTCTAGCCCACCTCAATATTACAATGAGCCGAATTTAGGGGATGCAGCCACCCCACATGGAAAGATGAAAGAACCTTTAGAGAGCTCACAGCTATCCCAGTTGATGTCACCAGAGGAGAGCAAAGACTTTTCTCCTTTGCTAATGACAGCTTGTTTGCAGGTAATAAGGTGTTAAAATTTTGTATCTGCTGTTTCAATTTTATGCCTGGTCTAAGTTTTCTTTTCTTTTCTTTTCTTTCACACACGATCATCACCATACATTATCACACAAACAAAGCAAAATGTACACTGTATTGAAAAGGGACAAAATTTATCCTTGGAACAACTTACTTAACATTAAAGGAACTCCTGGATCATATGGAAGGTGTTAGGGTTTTACTCTCCAACAACTTAATGTGACACAATTTACTGCCAAAAGGAGGGGAGGGAAAAAGAAAAAAACTTTATCTATGGGGTTTTCATTAAGAACTCTAATAGCAGGAGAAATGTGTAATGTTACAGGACAATATTTTGAAAGAGGCTTCTTGTCTGAATGAAAAATAATCATAGGCTAACTGATCTTAGCTGGAGAATTATTCATAATAAATGGGGAATTCTCTGATCTCCGATGCCTAATGAATACCCTTATCCATCGAACAACCACATGAGGTTGCTATCCAGTTGCTTCAATTGGATAAGCACTGGTCTACCGAGCAGGAGGCTTCTGGTTCAAACCCGGCTAGACTAACACTCAGGTTCTTGAAATAACTGAGGAGAAAGTGCTGCCTTTGTCTTAAGGACATCTGCAAACGGTTATGTTTTCTAGTCTTCTTGGATAAGGATGATAAATAGTAGGCTGTTTTTCACAACTCTTGCCCACATAAATACTGTGGGATGTTAAAGAACCCACGCACTGACTGTATGTTGAGAGTAGGGGACATTGTCCCCTGTGTGGTGGTCCATCTCTTATGTGGGGAGGAACTGTTATGGGCCCATAGTAATTGGCGCGACATGCTGTTCCAGTGACCCTGCCAAGAATTAGCAAACCTAAGTAAGTAAACATATGGAAGCTGTCAGGGTTTTACATTCCAACAACTTATGACAGAATTAATTCCCAATAAGTTCAGTACCTACATTATATCCATCTAATGGTACTCTCAAACTCTTTGAACAGCATTATACACAGGGTATGAGCAATAGAGTGCAGTCTATATCACTATCATCATATGAACCATCTACAGCAAGGGACCCAACAGTACAGTCAAAGGATAAGAGAGATATTTTGGCAGTTTGTCTGTCTCACATGGTGGTTATATGGACATTTGTGTCTGAATCACAGTGGACTGTGCTCAGTAAATGGACTCTGCCTGTGGTGAGAGATTGTTATATGATTATTTTATAAATCAGTGTTCAGTTAAGTGTTGAAAGTAGCTTATGAATAGTCCAGTTTCAAATTATCCAACTTCATACAAACAAACAAGCAACAAAGTTTATTCGCATTACCATTTGCTTAGATGGTGTTGCATAAAAAATCAAAAATAATATAAAAATAAAATAGATTAATAACTAAATAAAAAGAAAAGTAAATCCCCCAAAAAAGATATTCATGGTAGTTTAGGATTAATGGTATAAATGTGGTAACAAAGTGACCACAATGATACTGGGCTCCCAGGCTGAGAATAAAACAAAGAAAATGAATTGTTAATATCTGAATTTCAATGCAATTTCTTTTGTTTTATACCCCTCAGCCTAACAGCTCAGTATGAATTTTAATAATAAAAAATTGGCCTGTTACTATGGGTTTGTGACTCTATACAGCTTTAGGCTCTTTCTCATCAAGAGCCAAAAACCCATTGACCCAAAACAAGTTCAGTTCAAAAAAAAAGATTACAATACTGGGAACGAAAGAAATTCTAGGGTTTCTTATCCAAATAGAGTCAAGCTTAGACTGATTTCCCCTTAAATGGACACTTTTTTACCTCGAACATCTGTTGTTACTAAATAGGATGGAGAAGAAGAGTTTGTGAGTGTCAAGTTTGTACCAATTAAGTCTCATGTTGTTCTTCTGGTTGGTGGAAATTTTCATCGTGGAAATGGAAGGTGGGTGACATGATTCTACAGAAGCGTTACTGTTGTAAAGAGACCTTTCTATTGCTCTGTTATTGTAAAGGCACAGGAATCTTTGACTAACATTGTCTCATAACGTTTTTACTTTAAATGTGACAGTTACGAAAATTTGCTCCTACCTTTCAGTAATAATAGTGAAAAAAATTTGATTTGACTGGCGGTAAATAGTTTTGTGAGATTAAAGCTTTTTAAGAAAAGTCTCCTCCAAATGATAAACTTTGCTGTTACTTTTATTTGGCTGAAATGTCTGGTATACGGTGTTACTGATGTAATATGTAAGTCAAATAAATCATTGGAGAAGAAGTCTGTAAAAATTAAGGCACTCTGAATTCAGCTTTGAAGCTATTTTCAAATTTTTGGATAACAGCACTATCAATCTTGAGGGTTTTATCTAAACACTGAATCACAAGCTCATATAATAGGACCAAACTGATTTAAGTGCGCAAAGTTAAAAATTGTGTTTAAAAATATAAAACTAGTAAAACTGGGTGTAGTTTTTTTTTCTGTATTGCTTACCAAAAATGAAGGTTGGTATAACTAAACTGTCTTGTTCAAGGTTTTCACTTAAGAGGGGAAGAGACAGAAAAAGAAGGAAATATGGAAAATAAAACGTTTTCTGTTACTTTTACAATGTCAGAGTCCTTGGTTATTCAGAGGAGGGTGAATACTCACTGGACCTGGAAACTGATGAACAGTAAGTGGAGTGCTTCTTACCTCTAGGCTGTAACAATTTGTGATAATGATATCTGCCAATGAAAATAATTTTTATTTGCATCTCTCTCTTAGATGTTGTAGAACAAATGACTCTGTAATTGTGTTTGTAATGTCTCCAAATAAGTGGTAGGACTTGAGGAGAATCAAATCATATCATGTGTATGTTGTCGACCTTTATACTTCACATAGGTAACAGTCGTCACAGGACGATCTTTCATTTTTCGCCAGTTTTTGACCAATGGATGTTACTACAGGAAAAAAAGCATGCAGTTCTTAATTCATTTGTGTTAAACAATTCACAGAGACAACAAGTATTCCTTTTCAACAATGAGTTTACTCCATGATACAAAGGATTACAAGACTGGCGAAGACGTAGAGTTTGTCATAGGAGATAAGACATCTAATAAAATTACCCTGACAAAGTGGACTTTGGACAGCTTTTGTTTGTAAGTTGTATTCTTTGTAACACTGATGTAGCGTTTTTAGAAGAGTATGTCTTGTGACCAGAATAACTCATACTGCCACTAGAGTGGTGACAAGGTTGCTCATCTCTGAAACAATCACAAATCAAATCACATCTCTATCGTCGCCCGTATGCACAAATCAACATTTCAGTCTTAACAGTATGTAGCATGTTTGTCACATGAACCTAGTTTAGGTAGCCTTACAGTGTAGCTCCCACAAGTGTCTTGTAGCCCAGTGTTATAGCATCTGGTCTAGGTCTAGGCTGGAAGTAGGTTGTGTAACTGACTATCTAGGTTGTCTGAAGCTATTGTAACTGACTGAAAAATATTCTTTCTCAGAAAATCATTGGAGGACATTATGCATTTGTAGTTCTTGTCTTACAACCTACTTTCCTGCTATTCTTTTCTCGTCAAGGTTGGTCGAACAGTGGCAGAAGTTTACTCCTATCTATAGTGACTCTGAACTGTCATCTCTCCAATTTGTTCATGGAAGTCATTGTCTTCTTTTGGGGACTATTAATGAGAACTTGATATTGTGGTAAGTTTTCTGCAGACCAAATGCTCCTCTGTAGCTTTACTTAGAGGCCTTAATTAGCTTTAAAAACTGTAAAAAAAAAATTGTTATCAGGCTTGTCCACTCTGGAAAGGCAACAATTTTTCTGCTGTTTGACTGCCTTGTCCACATTGAAATTGTTTGTTCGACCAACATAAACGGATATTTTATATTCTCTTAAAATATTTCTTCAGATTTTTCCAGATAGGTATTTTTTGGTGGGGAGCTTCTCTATTCTGTTGCTGAATTTTGTTTAAGAAAACTGGATGTCAGCATAGTCTGTTTTGTGCGTGTGGTTGAGGAATACTCCTGTTCTTTCATACTCAAAATCTTAATTTGCCAGTTAATCCCAGTTTATCTGTTTCACTGTGTACTACCGTTGCAGCTGACAGAGCACCACTAAGAGAAAGTCTTCACCGAAATCTTTTGAAGGCGATTACAGGCCTTTCCAATGGTTTAAAAGTTTGTTTCTCGCAAGATTTAATTTAGAATCAGTAACCATACTGTTCTTTCTAGGAACCACGTAACATGTCAACAATTAAGAAGCATAAACCTTCACACTTCAGGCCTGAGTCAACTGTCTTGTATTAACGCTTTTACTGACAAGGTCAGATCAAAGTTTTTTTTTTTTTTTTTTTTTTTTTTTTTTTTT